GAATGAATATGGCTGCTCATTCGCAACTACTCCAACAACTGACATTTTCCATTCCCCCCCCCTTACCAATATAATATATATTAAGTAGAAATTCAGAGTTATTTTGTTTTACATTTCTTTTAACATTATTCATTTAGAGCATTTTATAGGGTTGTTGATAGCTTGCATTTCTGCTTTTGAAAACTGCCTGTTCGTATCCTTTGGCCATATTTCTATTAGGGAATAGCTGTAATCCTTATATATTTAGATCAATTCATGATATATCTTGGATTTCAGATCTTTGTCAGCTAAATTTATTATTAATATTTTCACTGTTAATTGTTTCCTTTCTAAAAATTCTGACTATGATGCTTTTATTTGTGCAAAATCTTTTCAACTATATTTAAAATTGTCCATTTTGCCTTTTATGGTCTGAGATAACAATGCATTTGCTTATTACTATTCTCTTCCCAGCTCTACCACCTCTCTTAAAAGCCCCTCTACTCTTTCCCATTCTCTGACAATTTTCTCGCTTATGTTAATGATTTTTTTTATCAAGACTGTGGTGCATGTAAGGAGAGTGAAATGGGAGTTCAATTCTCTTTGCCTCATTCAAATAGTTTGAGTTTCAGGAGATGTGGACCCTTTCCATTATCTCCTTCATGTTGCAGGCTCTCCTGGCAAACTCCAATTATAAGAAATAGTAGGTTCCTTCTCTTTTTTCCTCATATCTTTCCTAGTATAATCCTATTTCCACATGCCTTTTTCTTCTCTTAAAACCAATAATCTAGAACAGAATCACAACCAGGCCCTGTGTTTCTTTCTTTACTCTTCTTGCTATGCTTGAAGAAAACAGGATTCTGGAGGCACACTTGTCTCTTTTCCTATCAGAATGTACACACTTGATTGATTAGCCCTTTTCATTTACTCAAACCTTTCAGATTTCTCTTGCTTCCTACATTTGTGTTTCAATATGAGTTGGCTCCATTCCTTGTTATGGCCCTGACAGGCAATAACTAGAGGCAGAGACTACTGCTTCTTAGGTCTTTTGGAGAATACCAGGAAAGGGCTTTCTAGGTATTGAACCATCTTCTTCCCTGGAAAGTCAGCCAATGGCTTTATCCCCTCCTGTGACTCTAGCTTCAGGCCTTTGGAGAGCCTTGAGATTTTCTCCCATTCAGTGACCTAATGGGGGCTGGCCCCAGCTATCAAAAGGCCAGGGAAAATATTCTGCTGGTCTTGGCTAGTTTTACATACCCCTTTCCCAATCCCCTTTTTCTCTTTCACCCCAGTTCCTTAACATTTCTGGCTCTCTTGTACAATCTTGTGATGGATGGAGGAGCTTACTGGTGTTTTTCTTTGGTTGTATTGCTTATTATTTCAACTGAAACCCTTTAAAAATTTTGCTGGGCTATTTGTCACAAGAGTTGACTCAGGAGATTTTATGTTGTCACCATTTTTTTTTTTACCAGAAATAAGACCTTTCCTTTCCATGAAAGTTTTGCCTTCCTATCTTCTCAATTTTCTTTGGGGTTGGGAAGGGGAACTGAGTTGAAAGTGAGTGACCACCCTGTGAGTCGGAAAGTGGTCATTTTTGAATCCCTGTGTCTTTCTGGAGGGATTTCTAGGATACCCCAGGGAGAGGAAAATTCTTGTCCATACATGCATTTCTCAGGTTTGACTTTCAGCCTGATTTAACTGGTAGAGGAAGTGTCCGGGAGAAAATTGGGTAGGGCAAGACCAAGAAGGGATCTAGACATTCAGTACCTGCTAAAGAACTGTAACTTCCTCCACTCCCTTCTGCCATCTTTAATCTAGGGATTTGCCCCACCCTGGAAGTTTTGCTCTCCAAAACTACTCAACTTTTTCCTTAGATTAGAGCTCTGTAGCATGGGTAAGATTAGAATTAGAGTCCACCTGGAAAAAGACAGGATGACTGTCTCCCTGCTCAGAGAAGCCAAATTTCAACAACTTATATAAAAGAGAACTGAATTAATATAAAGTTTGAGGGCAAAACCACTTTCTGGCTTTGATTGACCGCATCCCTTTATTGAAGGTATGAGAAATATAACTGAGCAGGTAGCAGAGAAGATGACCTTGAGTCCTAGGTTTGGTGTTTCTCTTTATGTTATTCTCTTTCTTCATCAACAAGAGAGAACAGAAGAGTCAAAGTTTGTAAAACTGGGGAAAATGAAATCCCCAGTGCTTTTAAAGAATGATCATTACCTGGTTTGTAGATCAGCCACCTGAGATGAACATTTGGAAAATATATTATCCTATCAATTAGGGTGCAACTTCTGGGAAAGGGACCAGGAAGAGGAGTCCAAAGTTCAGACTAAGCCTAAGGGGATTAGATAGCTGGGATGACATTTTATTTTTTTAGTTCATTATTATTTTTATTGTTTTTTTAATTTAACTTAATTTTAATTTAATTTAATTTTTAATTTAGATGTATTGTCTATTGGGAAGTTAGGTGGTGCAGTAGATAGTGCCCTGGAGTTAGGAAGACTTATCTTACTGAGCCCAAATTCAGCCTTTGATATCCACTAGCTGTGTGACTGGGCAAGTGACCTAACCCTGAATTGGAGAAGGAAATGGCAAATCCCTCTGAATCTTTCCCCCCACTTAATAGTATTTTACTTTTTTCCAATTACATGTAAAGATAGTTTTCAGCATTCACTTTTATATGATTTTGAGTCCTAAAATTTTTTCTCCCTCACTCCATTCCCCCTTCCTCAAAACAACAAGCAATCTGATATAGGCTATGTGCAATCTTATTAAACATATTTCCACATTAGTCAGGTTGTGAAAGAAGAATCAGAACAAAAGGGAAAAACCATGAAAAAGAAAAAAAAACAAAAAAAGAGAGAAAATAATATGCTTCAATCTGCATTCAGATACCATAGTTCTTTCTCTGAATGTGGATAGCATTTTATATCATGAGTCTCTTGGAATTGTCTTAGATCATTGTGTTACTGAGAAGAGCCAAGTATCAAAGTTGATTGGATGACTAATTACTTTATAGGAGGCTTTTTGCTGGTCTACAAACAAGAATTTTATTTTTTTTACCATAAATTTTATCATTACCATAATCATCAATATACATGAACATTTCAGTGTACAAAGAACAAGAGGTTTGTATATAATACTATATTATTCTATTAAATAGAGTTTTTAGACATATATTAAATTTAATATAGTACTAACAAAGTTTTCCTATTTGCATTCCCTTCTGAATGTTTTTTTTTTATTCTCTCTCTCTCTCTCTCTGTCTGTCTCTCTCTGTCTGTCTCTCTCTGTAGGGCAGAATGAGACACACATTTTCAGATTTGGTCGATGTGTTGTTTTGTTGTGTTTGGCTATATAAAGCATACGGTTTCTGAAGTCAGAAGATATGGGTCCAAATTCTGGCTCTGATGAGACAAGTAATTTATTTGTCTGACCTTGGGTAAGTTATAAACTCCTTGGCCTTTCGTTTCCTCATCTGGAAAATAAGGAGATTAAACTAGATGGCCATTAAGATAACTACTATCCCTACAACCATTTCTAAATTATAAATTTACCTAGTAAAATGCTATGTAAGGCATTTTGAAAATTATGAAACATTATATTGCATAATTACATGCTATTATAACAAATGAAGAATAACATTTGGAGGGTAGTGAATAAGTGGGTTAGGATAGATATTGAAATTCATGTAGTGACCTCCATTGTCTCCAGTCTGGCTTGTTTTCAGCATAATTGTTAATCAGTTTTGGGGAGGTTCTGTTTGTTGGGGGAGGTGTCACGGAGCCTGTAGCTTTTGTATTGCCTGCTATCATCCCATATCTACTAGCCAGCCAGTTGAAGCTAATTTTCCTTACCTACACTCTCATTTCCTTAAGATGCAGAAATTGGAGATTAACTACAATGCAATGACCCATTCCCTTTTGCTGATGTGGACTTATCCAAATTGTCTTTATCTCATTATGAAAGTTATCAATAAAAGCTGGTTCTATCTTGAATCCTTGCTGATCCCTAGTGATCAGCCATTAAAGCTACCTTGACATAAGTTTTTAAAATAAATTCCTTTTAATTCCTTTTTTTTCCCTGAGTTTTGCCTCATTAATTAAGGTCAAAGTCTGAACAAAGAATTTTACTTTTATCATAGAGATGAGAAAAAGAAAAGAAAAGGTAAAAAGAATATAAAACATTAAAAGGACCTTTTTTAAAAAAAAGAAAAAAATACTGGTTTTAATATAAGAAAGCTTGGCAAAACTTACTCCTACTTGAGGAAAAAATAGCCAAGAATTTCAGCTGAGCCCAAAGTGGAAAATGACAGAGTCTAGAAGAGCAGCATCCAGCAGCTATTCAATTGCAGCAGAGGCTACAGGTTCAGCAGTAGGCAAGGTGAGCATGATGACATCACTAGAAGATATCAGCCACCTTATAGTGTTAGAGGTGATTCGCCTATCCCACAGGTGCTTCAGTTACAAGCACTCCCTGCATGGGCTTTCTATTCTTCCTACTAATGTATTTATGGTGTAAGGGAGCAATTTTGTTGCTACTTTTCTTACTCTGACATTTCATTAAACACCTTGGATATGAACCATTGCTGTCTTCTATGTGCCGAGGCATCTCTTTAAGACTGTAAGTTGTAAGACAGAGCTCTCCTGTCTTGGTAGAGGGAATTTCCTTAGTAAGAATAGTGGCCAGGAAAGGGGGTTATGGTCTAGCATGTCACAGGGCAGAGCCAATGGCAGTGGTAATTTGATTACAGCTCTCAGAGAAAGAGGTGGGTTTAGAGGAGGCTTTGAAGGTGACAGACAGATCCAAGGAGTATGAAGTTAAATGAGTGCTCAGTTCCTTCTAGGCAGAGTGGGGGTCATATAAGTATTTTCAGAGAAATAGATTTAAATTACTTGAATACCTGAATAACAATGGGGCATTCAGTTGCAAAGAAAAACAAGGGGCAATTAGTCATAAATTTTAATAGTGCATGATTAATTTTTATTTATTTAAAGAACATACATCTCATTGTGTTATTTTTTTCAATATAAAGTTTTTATTGGCTTTAACAAAGTAAAACAATATTTAGTATGAGATATATAGTATCTTTACTATTTGTTACTAAATGCAGAATATCTTCAAAAGCCTTGCTGAAACTATTTTCAAAGCACTTAGGCAATCAAATGCTGGCTTTAAGGGGGAAAAAAACTGATACAAGTGTTTGATGATTCAGCAGTTGTATTGGAAACAGAGTTTTCATAATCAATTAAATTCAACAAGCATGTATGAAGCATTTAATATATACCAGGCACTGTGAAAGGAATAGGAGAACATAAAATAAAGCAAAAAAAAATCCCTGCTGTCAAGAAGCTTACATTCTACTAGAGAGAAATATATAGAACAGGTAAGTGAATACAAAAGATATATAAGGTAAGTACTAATTAATTTCTTTTTTGGGGGGGAGGGGAAGGGGTTCTATTTCCAAGTTAGTTATCATTGCTTGTCATGTTATATCACAATGCAGCTAAGGTTATAACACTTTATTATAAAAAAAATAAAGTTGTTCTGCATAGTGTCTCTCAAAGGTATAATGATTATCATACTCTGGATATAGGAGGTGGGGAGAGAAGGATGAAGATAGAAAAGACATATATATATACATATATATATATATATACACACATACATATGTATTATAACCTTCAAACTGCTGATACTTGCAGGATCCTGAATATATTCTTATAAAAGCTTGTCAATGACATCATTGACAGACATTTATAGCTCATGTATATTATATATCTGGCATTGCATTATGCTGGTACATATGTAATGTGATAAATATTGTGCCTAAGTCATATCTGTTTGCTCAGACAAGCATCATAATATCTATTTCTAAAAAGGCAAGCATTTCACAGAAAGCTATAATCTCAGCTGTTCTGAGAATTGAAGGATCAGTAAGAAATACCTGTAGATGGAAGCAGAAATATCTGTATATTCACCATTCTAGGTATTTTAGAGTGATAAGGTGCAGTGCTATGTTTCATTCAAAACAATCAAGAAAGTATTAGTTTTTTACTCCATTGACTGCCTGTGTTTTAATAAGAAAAATGTAGCCTTAGTATGGTTCCTTACATCATGTGCAAGGTGTGGGGATAGTGTGCTTGGATTCTTTACTTGGCTTCCTTGAATATACATATATACACATATGTGTATGTATGCATTTATATACATATATGTGTACTTCAATATAATTGGTTTCCTTTATAATCCTAAGTGTTTTATTTTATGCATTTAAAACATTCTGAGAGGCAGTTTATAGACCAGACCATGAAAGGGGTCTATGACACAGATTAAAAAAAAATAATGACTATTGGGCAGAGGAAGCTAGCAAGATAAGACAAAGGCTGGGTACAAAGCCTTTAGAAGTGACTTTGCACTTTTGAGAATGAATGGTTAAAATATTATTAAAAGTCAGCAGTTTACATATTTGGGAAATCCCATGGGACTGTAAGGCATGAAACTTTTAATTCAGATGCAACATGAAATACATTTCAGATGCCTCAAAACTGACAAACTTTTTATATGCAAAGAAATGTGGTTCTGATACGTTTTTCCTGTACATGAGCTAAACCCTCAGTAGTTGCAGCTACTTTTATCATTGCATTGCAGGGAATCAGTAAAATTATTTACTTTTTTATTATTTATTAAATTATTAAATTATTTAATTTTACTGTTGTGTTTCTTAATCTAGACGTGGTGGTTGGGGAGTGGGGAGTGAATGGCATAGATCCTATGAAAGGAGGACAACGGCAAAAGTGAAACATTCGACTCATGTGTTTTATTAAACGCAAGAAATTTAGACCCTGCCTCCCTTAATCCATGGTTCCTGTCTTTCTGAGCTGCTTTTTGGTCATTCTTCTTTTGCAGGAGAAGCAGTGTAAATAATGCTCCCATATCAAAGTTGTTTTGATATGGAATCATAGTTAGTAAATTGTCACTACTGTTAGAAGCATCAACCTTAAGCTTATGTTGGTAAAAACAAACAAACAACAAAAAACAGTTGTTTTGGCATAGACTTACTAAAATAATCCTGTTTTCAAAATTGGTCATTCTGAAAGTTTTAACCAATTGCTGACAAAATGGAATTTCTACTTACTTTTCCTTTTCCCTGTCACCTTTGCCACTTCCTTTCCTGTCTGGTCAGTTTCATGTTTCTCTCTCTCTTGTTCTATTACGCTACCCAACGAAGCTATTGAAGTGGGAGAATGGCTTTTATCATCTTCTTTCTCTACAGCAGAGTTCTCATTAACCTGATCAAAGTTTGTGTAATCTTTAATAATTGGATCCTCTCTGTCTCCATCTTTTTTTTAATGTATACCTCATACATATTCCTCTAAAATGTGCTGAATAACAGGAGCCGATTCTTGCTCTTGTTTTTGTTTTATCGTAACTGGTTCATAGGAAATTTCAAAAAGACATGATGACAGAAACTGCTCACGCATTGGCAAATGGAGCCGGTCAAACTCTTCACTTTCACCTATAACACGTTTTGCAAGAGCAAACAGAACATCAGGACAGAAAACTCGATTGCCTCTTGCCACAGGCAGATCCATGGCCATGAGCTGTACTTTATTTGGCTTTGCTATAAGAAGAGGAGGGTTCAACGAAGCAGCAAAATCAGAGAGCTGACTATAATCTATAAAATGAGTTGTGTCAGGATCAAATTTTTGCCAAACCTCATAGAAATTGTCAAAGGCTTCTTCTCTCAGGGATTTAGCATTTTCTTCAGTCACAGCATTGAAAATCTCAAAGATAACAACAATGAACATGTTTACAAGCAACAGAAAGGATATGATGAGATAACTCACAAAATAGAAAATCCCCAAAGAGGGACTTCCACAATCTCCTTTCAAAGGAATTCCTGGGTGAAGTTTTTCAGGGTTGCAGTCTGGTGGTCCTTTGTTAAGCATTGGTGCTATCAGACCATCCCAGCCAGCAAATGTGGTAATTTGGAAGAGGCAAAGCATGCTGTTGCCAAAGGTTTCAAAGTTGAACATATCATTAATTCCAGCAACTTTCTTAACATAGGCAAATTGGGACATTCCGATAATAGCATAGATAATCATGACCAAAAAGAGCAGAAGCACAATGTTCAACAAAGCAGGAAGAGACAGCATCATTGCAGAGAGCAATGTGCCTATGCCCTTGGTTCTTTTAATGAAATTCAAGACTCTTCCACACCTGATGAGACGAATCACTTGCATCTGGCCATAGGTCAGGAAATATGTGTGTGTCAATTCAGTTAGTAGTATAACTTTGGAAAAAACAAACATAAAAAGGAAAATATTTAAGCATATTGTGAATTCACAAATTGCAGATTTGAGTGGTTGATCCCTGCTGGGAGCTACAATAGTAAGAGGAGAAGTATGCCCTGACTGTTCCCTCTTCCTTAGAGCCCCTCCCATAGTAATACTGTGAGCCATGGAAACTGGATATTCAATGGAAAGGGGAAGGGATGTACTTGATTCTGGATCCTGAATCCTTTCTTTATCCATTGTTTAGTAAATAAATCTAGTTTATATTTTGAAGCCTAATGGACAGCCTTAGCAGAAGATAAAATACTGAATGAAATTCCTAGGTTCTATGAAAATGGAGTGAAATGAACTGATTAGTGAAAGGTCTTTAAAGTATGTCCAGTCCATTTACATCATGATACTGACATATATACATACCACATAACATACTTTTGAACAGAAATTTCTTTACTCTCTATATTTGCCTCCTTAGGTTAAACTCATGGTTTGACTTCCCTCTCCACATTTATTCCCTCCCAATAATTCTATTGAATTGCAGATTACAGTCTATACCTAACAGTAACTATAGATTGAATAGGAGCACCAAGATCATAAAATAATTGGCAGTGTTATTATTGTGTAAATTTAGAACGTTAGTGAATGAACTTATTTTAGGTCTAGACATCTAGGACTGTGATTTTACCAGTGTGGGGAATTCTCGGTATATAAATTCCCCCTATTAATATAGATTGGCAACATGTTTTTAATTTATACTGTTACAGAGATGACTGAAACATTAATAGATCATGACTTGTCCATGATCACACAAGTAGAATGTCAGAGGCAACTTTAAATTCAGGTTTTCTGACTCTAAGTCTAGCCTTCAATCCTTTATGTGATATTTCCTTGACATGCTTCTCTAGTGAACTCACTTCACCTTGAATATTATGACTGTGAAGAGCTAAAATAGTTGGTGAATAGAAACTTCCTAGTAACTGCTCAAGTCCAGAGCTACTAATCCTTCATCCTTATATTTCACTTTTCTAACTTCACATTAGAGACTTCCAACTGAATGTCTTGGTGACATCTAAAACTTAACATGTCCAAAATCAAAGTCATCATCATTCTCTTAAACCCTTTCCTCTTCTTAACTTTCCTATTATTGTCGAGGGCATTACCATTCTCTCAGTCACCCATGCTTTCAACGAAGGTATCATTCTCAACTGCCTATTCTCTCTCATTCACCATATCCAATCTGTTGAAAAATCCTGTCAATTCTACCCATCTGTTGTACATGTTCCACTCCCTCCTCTGACACTACTACCATCCTGGTCTAGGTCCTCATCAACTCACACCTGTATTATTGCAATAGCCTGCTGGTTGGTCACCTGTCCTCAAGTCACTTCCAACTCTATTCCATCTTCCACTAAGCCACCAAACTGATCTCCTTAAAGTGCAAGTCTGACCATGTCACCCTCCATTCAATGAACTTTCTATCACCTTCAGGATCAAATATAAAGTCTTCTGTTTGGCATTCAAAGCCCTTCATAACCTGGTCCCCTCCTACTTTTCCAGACTTATTATACTTCATCACATATACATACTCTGAGATCCAGTCACACTGATCTCCCTGTTGTTCCTCTATTAAGGCATTCCACCTCTCAACTCTGGGCATTTCCACTGGCTGCCTCCCCATGACTGGAACTCTATCCCTCTCCATCACTATCTCCTGGATTCCCTGAGTTCCTTCAAGTACCAACTAAAATCCCAGCTTCTGCAAGAAATCTTTCTGATGCTCCTTAATGGTAGTTCCTTCTCTTTTTTTTACTTTCTCCAATTGATTTTATATATATATATATATAAATTTATATATATATTTTATATATATACATATAGATATAGATATAGTTTTTTGCATGTTATCTCCCCTATTAGACTGTGAGCTTATTCAGAGCATGGACTGTTTAAAAACAAAACAAAACAAAACAAAAAAATAAAAAAAAACTTTTTTGTATCTCTAGAGCTTAGACAAGTGCCTTGCACATAGTAGGTGTTCAATGAATGCATGTGGACTGACTAAATGATAGCAATATCCCTTTATATATCTGAAGTGTTTTCATATTCTCAGTCCAGACTGATTCATTTAAGTGACTCCATGATCTCTAGATGCCAGATATTTTCCAACTTGTCTACATTCTTCTTAAAATGTAGCACGCAGAGTAGAACACAGTTCTCCTGTTGTGGCATGACTGGGGTGGAGTACAGCAGGACTATGTTTCCTTTATTATGGACACACAGCTCCCAAGTTTTGTGGTTGTCATTGCACTGATGACTAATATTAAGCTCAGTCACCGAAACCTGGCACCCTTTCCCCATGGACTTTAATTTAGCCAAACCTCTGCTATCTTCTTGCTTGTGAAGCAGGTTTTTTTTTGGACAAAATCATTGATCTTTATAATTATTGCTATTAAACTCATGTTATTTAACTAGTCCCATCATAGTCACACAATGAGAAGTAATAGACTCCTGCAACCACTTTGGGTAAAATTGTCTAAGTCTTTGGTCTTAGTCAAGCCTTATGCATGTAATTCCCATAGTGATTTTGCTGTAAGAATTTGCCCTAAATATGCCAAGGCAAGTGCCTCAGACCAAATAGATGAATGGCTTCATGCTATTAAATGCTTTCAAGGGAGGCAGTACATGAGAATGTCTACTGTTACACTGCCAGCATGGAGACTAATGCACCCATATACTTTCCCTCTGTTTCCATGATGACAGCTCTCCTCATTGCCTATGGTTGTAGAATCAGCATGGCTTTCACTGATTTCTTTGTTTATTTCCTTTTGGTATCTTTGTCTTTGCTCACCAGAAATTGATTTGTCAAAGTCACAATGCTACTAAGTTTCTGAGGCCACATTTGAACTCATGGCAAAAATAAAAATGGCTCAGAAGACAGGTTTTAGATTAGGAACCTTGTAAGCTCTTGTCTGCTGGATTTCAGATCAGTATAGGCACTTGAAAAGAAACATCCTTACCTGCAATGGAGATATGGACCACCACAAAATCAAAGATGTTCCAGCCTACAGTAAAGTAGTGATGGCGGAGGCCGATGAGCTTCAGCACACATTCTCCAGCAAACAGGCCAATGAACACTAGGTTGATCTGGTACAAAATTCCACTCTTATAGGCACTCTCTGTATCTGTTTCCACCATTATGATCATCATGTTGAGACAGATAAGTACTAGGATGGTAATCTCAAAAGCATCTTTTGTTACAAGGTCAAATACATATCCTTGGAATTTGTTCTGCAATAATGAAAAGTATCAAAATCAAAAAGATGTAAAATGTATAGGAGTCTTGCAAATGCTTTTTAAAAATCGTTAGGTTCATAAAATATATTTTTCTTAATCAATAAAATTCAACTTTGATTCCCATCATAATTTCAGGACACATTGTTAAACGTATTGTTTTCAAACACTTAGAAAGGGGGACTATGATTATTAAAAGCCATTATGGGTTGCCCAAGAATAAGTCATGTCAGATTTATGTTATTTTCTTTTTTGGACAGTTATCAGAATGACAGATTAGGAAAATGTCTAGACATAAAAAAGTGACATCTGACAAAGTTCCTTACAATATTTTTGTGGACAAAATATAGCACCAAAAAATAGCACCCCTAGGTACTTGGCTACTTACATATGTATGCCTCAGAGAAGAATGTCCCAACTTCAACATGCTCTCAGGAGACACATCTACTCTAAATTTTATCTCACAAGCCCTCATTAATATCTTTTCCTTTAATAGTCAAATCATAGAGTAAGTTCAAATCAAAGGCATTTGATAAAATAGAAGAATAAGAAAAGTAGCAATAAAATATCTCTTCTATAAACCTATGTATACACACTGTCCCACAAATACACTTAACATCAGTGGGAAAACCAGATTAAAAAGGGAACTCACATGGAGACGTACAAACATAGGGAACAAATGCTTTCAGGTCAACACATGGATGGCATCACAAATAGGAAATGTGGCTGGGAAAGACAAAGAGGGGCAACTATACCTTCCAAAATAAAAGGATTGTTGATGTTTTCTACTTGTGTCGTGATATTCTCACTAGGCTTGTTCCCCCTGATCTTGTGTAATACCTAGTTTCTACTAGATATGTGACTTTTGTTTATTACTGGTTCCCAGATTCTGTGGTTTCTGATATTGCTTCCAGGTGCAGCTTCACAGGGCATCAGGTTACACAGTTTCCTTCTGCTTCCCACTTCTCACTTGAATTATAGTTCTTACCTGGGGTGGTGTCTTTTCTTCATAGAGAGAGTGAAATCTGCCATGCTTTCTTAGTTTAAAACCCTAAGGCTTGCTTTATGGCTAGAACACAGATGTGCTCAACATATCCAGCCATTGGATTAAGTTAAAAAAAAACTTTCTTAAAAAAAAAGTCAGTAATTTCTCACCTGATATTTTTTTCCCTTACCATAAGGAGCAATTTGTCAATTCCTTTGAATATATTGGCTAGAAAAGGCCAGGTCTTCAATTGTAGAGTCCTTGTTCTAGTCACCAAGCTTTCTGGTACACAAAGCAGGATCATTTCCTGTAGCCTATTGCCTTCAGGCTAAATTCTGTTTTTGAATAATGTTTCCTGGTCTCTGAGTCTTGGGTCTTTGCTAGATATCCCTCTCTATCTATGAGCCAGCAAATCTATGTGACTTTAACTTCTGGTAGCAAACCTACATTGAATTATCATGTATGAATTGACTGCTCTTTGAACAAATTACCAAAGTTTTCAGGTGTTCAATGTCCTCTAGTTTCTCAATTCTCACTTTATTCTTCCCAGACTCAGTTTCCTCATCTGTAAAATGAGGAAGTTGTATTAAGTTCTCTTTGAGGTCCCATGAAACTCTAAATTCTATGATTTTATTAGCTATTACATTAGAAAACAGAATGAAGTTCAATGAAAATCTTGAGTCTAGAAAAATATCTTGAATCCAATGAGATAGCAATTTTTTTTGATTGGCCAGAAAGGTTTTACCAAATTCTTTAAAATGTTTACATAGAAAGCATTTATACATGTACATATTGTAATAAGGCTGCCCAGGGGGAACATAGCTCTACAATTAACAAGTGGATGAGACAAGACAAAATGATCTTTTCTGAAAAACTAGTAGCCCTTTTCAAGGTTTGGGAGGAATGGAGACATCTAGGACAGCAAGGTCAAGGGTTAAATGTCACCTTGATTCTGTGGGCAATGGAGAGGTCTGACTTGCCCCTACTAATTGGGATTTTTCATCGCATTCTTAGAATCCAATTTCCTGGCATGGAGGGATTCTCAAAGGAGTGCCATTCCCAACCACATACACATCTACTTTCTCCTACTTATCCCTAAATCTCAGTATGACAGACTAGCCCAAGTCTAGGTTACCACTGGTAAGAAAATATTTGATTGGGTATGAGTAAAGCCCTATATTTCATTCCAAAAAAAAAATCAAGTGCTATTTTTGTAGGATAGAAGAAAGAGACAGTAGTAAAATAGGACTTGAGAGTTTTAGAGGATTGAAAATTCAATAATTTAGGAATGTATAATGTGGTAGCTGAAGAAATCTAAACAGAACTGGGTTGCATTAATAAAAAAATATGGTTCAGAATGAACAACGTTATAATCTTGTGCCCTTGGCTCTGGAGAAACCACCTCTAAAATAATGTATTCAGTCATAGATCTATTATTTTAGGAAGGACCTTGGCAAATCAGAGCATTGACAGAGGAAGGTGATGAAGAATGGAAAATGAAGCCTGATCATGACATATAAGGCCTTACTGGAGGAACTAGGCTTATTCAAATTGGAAAAGCGAAACCACGATTACTATTTTCAAATATCTGAAGAATGGTTCAGAAGGCAGAATGAGATTCAGTGGATATAGTTGGTACAATGGAAAGAATATTTGATTTTGAGTCAGATGACTTCAATTTGAATTCTAACCATGCCACTCACTATGCACATGACCTTGGGCAAATCACCTAACACCTCTCTAGGGATAAGTTTCCTCTGTAAAGTGAGGCAAATGGACAAAATGACCTCTAACATCACTTTTTAAAACTCTGAATCTATGATCCTATGATCCTAGCAGAAAGAGTACTAGTTATGAAGTGAAAAGATGAGTTCCATCCCAAGTTCTGACACTTAGTGATTATATAATTTTGAAAATCACTTAACTTTTCAGGTTTTCATTTTTTTTCTTCATCTGAAAAATTTAGGAGGTGAATTTAATGAGGTATAAGGTCCCTTACATCTCTAAATTCAGATTCAAGGAGCTTAATAAATGTGTTGAATGAATGGTGGTTCTTAGAAAAGGTATATTATTCATTCTATCATTTCATCTCCTCAACTAATGAAGTAGCATGAAACCTTGTCAGGTTATGGTTGTGATTCTGTGCTGTCCAAGGTTATGACAGTGTAGCATAAGCTTCAATAGGTTTTCCCAAGTTGAAAGACTTTGAATGTCAATTCACTGACAGAATGTCATCCAAAGCCTACCCTTGCTAAGTTCAGAGAGGTTCATCAAGGGATAGTTGTCCTCTTATTAATGAATTTGTATTACTGTAGCAATTTAGGAAACTACCCACTTAAGGGCAAGGAGATATTTCAATTGACTGTTATCATAGATATGCCAAGAAGGATCAGAAAAATATTGGAATATGTATAGTTTGTATATAATGCAAAGTGATAAATGATTCCATAGCCTTGGATAAGAATTTTAGACAAAAATTCTTATATTATCACTATTATAGATAATTAAAAAAGAGCAGATGAGTTAAGGATATTGTAAAATCCCAATAATTTCTATTTTAAAATCAAAGGCTGTATATTTTCTCAGAAATAAAAAAAAACTTTCTCACTTTATATTTTGAAAAAGAAAAGTTTTTAATAGATGTAATAAAAGCCTCTTTTGAAAATCTGGGTAAGTAATAGAAGTTTGGCTTACCCCTGGGCGAGGTATTGGTTTCTTGTACCTTAACTTTTTCATTGAGTTGTAGGATTTCTTCTGCCCCTCTGTCATAAAGATAGATTCACCTCTAATGTAAAAAAAAAAAGAAATGAAAACTATTTAAAATCATATTTATCACCTCAGTTTTCTCCAAACCACTAACATTTTTAGAGCCACAGTAACATGTAGCATTTTATCCTTTTAAAAATGGATGTAATTATGTGAATTGTAGAAGTAAATAAAACTTATATTATGGGCTCTATTTGTAAGTAGCTTGGTGCATCTATGCAAATATATAAAATCAATAGGCTATATAGTTCAGCAATGACAGAATCCAATATCTGGTTGTGGGTTTAACTATAGGTTACTTAGACATTTTGTTGTTCAGTCATTTCAATTGTGTCCAACTTTTTGTATTTTCTTGGCAAAAATACTGGAACAATTTTTCATCATTTTACAGATGAAGAAACTGAGACAAACAGGGTTAAGTAACTTGCCAAAGGTCATACAACTAGTGCATGTCTGAAGTCAGATTTGAGCTCAGGTCTTCCTGATTACAGTCCTGGCACTCTATCCACTGAGCCACCTAGCTCCCAAATTTAGATGTAGTCTGACTTCATTTTCTGCCTTCTAATGGGCTTCTCTGGGCATTTCACTGACAAATATATTATCAATCATCGTGGATTTTTCATAATTCCCTTCTAAAACAGGACAATGAGAGCAGAAATTAAATGTTAAGTGAACTTTGTATCTCTCCCAGAATCTAGCACAGTGTTCTGCATGTAATGTGTACTTAAATATTTGTTGAGTTGAATTAAATAAATGGTAACTTTATGAGGTGAAAAATCTAGAACCTCATGTTTTTTTGAGGCTTAGGGCTCATATAAAAGTTTCTACATTCTGACCACCAAGTTGTTTCCAGAGAAGACAAAGCTCTTGTTACCTGTCTTTTGCCCTCAATATTCAACTAAAACTTCTTTCAGAGGTCACCAATGAGCCATAAGATCATTTAATGTGTTTCAGGCCTCAATGACTCAAAATTCTCTGCAGATTTTACTATTGGTGATCAACCCTCCTCATTCTTCATTTGGCTTTCACAGATCTTTCAGAGAGACTGCATAACCATTCATCTCCTGTTTGACAGGAGATAAACACCTCTATACAGAGCAATTATTTTCAGACTGTAAAATTTAAAATAACGACAATAATAGTTACCACAGATTAAAATCGAAGACTTTGGAGGAGATTTTAAGAGATCACTGCTTAGTTGCTCTCATTGAGTACAGGTCCCTAGGTCCAGGCTCAATTGCATCTTCAATTGCATCAATTACATCAAGGGTATTGAGAAACTTTGTGGACAAGAGAGTTGAATTAGTGGTGGAGGCTGTTGAGCAATTATGAATGTGACAGATGCCACAGGACTGCAAATGGGCAAAGGTTCTCCCATTGTTTATAAAGAACAAGGTGAATCCTTCAAATTCTTATTTCTGACTTTTTAAGGTTTATTTTTTTCAGGGGAAGCTAGGTTGGTGCAGTGGATAGAGCACTGACCCTGGAGTCAGAAGGACCTGAGTTCAAATATGCCCTCAGACACTTAACACTTTCTAGCTGTGTGACTCTGGGCAAGTCACCTAACTCCAATTGCCTCACAAAAAAAGACTTATCTTTTCTTTTAAGATCCAGCTGAGGTTCTTCTTCCTCCATGAAGCCATCCCTGGTCATCCCCAATGAGAATGACTTCTCCCCTCTCACACCTTCCCAAAGAATTTTGTTTGGATCTCTTTTTTGCACCATTGCTCTCCTCCTTATATTATACTCCTTTGTTTATGTACGTGGAGTATCCTCTCCTATAAAATGTAAACTCCTCAAGGGCAAGAATTGAATTCTTCATTTAACATTCCTAGTGTCAAAATGATTTCTTATGTAACATAAAATTCTTCACTAATGTTTAAGGAATCCAAGTGAAATGAATAAGGAAAGACAAGAATACTTATCTTTTTTTGTTGCTTGAAATAATCAATGATGACACCAATGAAGAGGACAAATGGAAAGAACACTCCAAAGATGATAAAGCTGACAAAGTAAAGATACATGTAGGGTTTGTTCTCATACTTAGGCTGGCTATCTACCTGTAAAATTAGCAAACATTAACAGCATATTGCCAATGATTAGGTGGGATCTTTCATTTTGTACAAGAAAATGTATATACTTATCTTGGGTTTTATATTTTTAGCCCCTCATCTGGGACTCACTATTTTGCTTTGATTTACTTTTAAAGGTTCATAATCTAGAACATAGTTTCTTAACCTGGAGTCCACAGACTCCTTGGAAGTCTGATGATATATTTAAAAGGTCCATGAACTTGGAGCAAAAAAAATCACCTTTCTTTTCACTAAATTGACTCAAATTTATCATTTTCACAATTATTTTAAAATATTATTCTGAGAAGGGATTCATAGGTTTTGCCAGATTGCCAAGGAGGCCAATCTCTCTCTGACTCACTGTCTCTCTCTCTCTCTCTCTCTCTCTCTCCCTCTCTCTCTCTCGCTCACATACACACACACACACACACACACACACACACAGACATAGACACAGACACATGCAAACACATATACATGCACACAAGGTTAAGAACCCTTAATTTCCAGAGAAGGTATAGCACAGTGTAGAGGTAAAAGTGATGAGCTTGGAGTCAGGAAACTATAGTCTGTATCCTGACTATGACATAGACTAATTCTGTGACTAGGAATGATTAGTCCTACTTTTCTAAGGCTCAGTTTCTTTATCTTCAAATAGGGATAATTTATACCATCTCCCTCAAAAAATCATTCAGAGAAAGGTGCTCTAGACATATTAAAGTGATATATAATTGAGAATTTTAGTTTTCCTTTAAGAAGGAAAAAGAGGGAAAGGAAAAGGAATAAGCATTTATTAAGCACCTAGTTAATCAATAATCAATCCATCAATAAATATTTATTAAACAATTACTATGTGCCAAGAACTTTAAAGTACCATCTTATTTTATTTGGACAGCTAGATGTAGAGAGGGGAAGGGCAAAGAATGTTGTAGTGGTGGGAGTTTGAGATCAGTAGACCTCACTTTGAGTCTTGCCTCTACTACTTCCTAGTTTTGTGACCTCTGCCAAAAATACTCCTTCTGAATCTCCATTTCCTCATCTCTAAAATGGAGGTAATAATTTTTACACTACCTTTCTTATGGGGTTATTTTGAAGAGCATGCTTTGTTAACCATAAAGTGTTATATGCATGTGACTGTTATTGATAAAATTGTTCCATACTTACATCACTTGAATCAACAGCTGAATACATGATATTCAACCATCCTTTAAATGTGGCCTGCAAAGATGACATTTATTAAATTTGCCTCTGGATCCCATGATTAAGAACAAGAAAGAAGTCAAGCTTAGTTAATGACAAGTCAAGTCAACTAGCTTCTTATAGAACACTTGATTTTAGTTGGAACTTAAAAGAATTCAGAGAAGCCAGGAGACAGATGAGGAGAGAAATTTTCCTTCTCATTGAGTGAATAGCCTCAATTATTATTATTTATTTTTGTGAAACATGAAGCGAAGTTCTTAGCTGAGAGAGTCAGGATAGGGGAGGTATGGAAGTTTGAGGAGGGATGAAAAGGTTAAGAAAAGTCATTGTGATGGGTGGAATAGTGAGTCAATTAGGGAAGTATAAAATGATTGCCTTGTTACAGGAATTCCCTGGTTCAAATTTGTGTGTGGTTTGTATCTTTGTTGTCGAAGAGGACCATGACATCAGGAAGATGATGACTTGCAAGTGAATTGGATTACAGTGAGGCAGGGCTGTGCAAAGTCACCAGCCTCATTTTCTCCTCCAGAGCCATCTGGGTCCAGTGGCCAGACATAGATCAGGATGACTGGAGATGGTCCAGGATGCATTGTGAGACCATGGGCTTTTTAAGCTAAGGTCTTTCCGAGTTCTAACTTTGACTGAAGCAACCTCATTTAATGATTAGGCCTGTTTAAGAAGTGAGCCAAGGGATGGCCCTTTTAATGAAAAGAAATCAAACTGGGAGGGGGAGACCCTCAGGGTTGTTTATGATCAAAAGAGAAACAATTACTATTTAAATTTACTCTGAGCCATCAGGGCCAAAAAAATAACCATTAGGTGGTACTTGGGCAAGGACCTATCTTTGGCCAATCAGAAACATGAAATCATAGTGGACCCAGGTACCATGATTTCATGATGCTCTCTAGCATTGTTTAATAGCATATGAGTAAGAGTGAAAACAGAGAATGTTATAAGCAATCCAAGGTTAGGTTTTGGTAGGGTGACATCTTCAATAGAATAAAAAGGATATGTTAAAAGTCTGAGTTGAGTAATCAACAACAATAAGATTCCATTGATAATTCACAAAAGTGCTTAAAATCCTCCATTTTGACTCCATCACCTGTCAATGGTGATGACTTTATGGCTTATGGTTCCCTATATGATATGATTTCAGGTTTCTTAAGAGAACACAATAAACCTAAAAATCTTTACTCCTCTGCCACACTGACTCCACAATTACATTCATTAAAAAATAAAATTTTATTTGTTAAATAAATTCATTAAAAATAAAAAGAGCTTCTATTTCCTTTTAAAAGTTGAATTCTCCATGAAAGTACTACTTTGATGACTTTGGGGGTGATCCCAGAACATTGACTGGTAAAGATCTAACACCCTTCATCCTTGAGATTAGAACCTTTGTTTGCTTTTACTATACTGGTCATGAATTATGACTGGCATAGAAGCTAGAATCTTCTTCAACAATTAGTATACTTCTATATGGAAAAGCTAGAAAATCATTTATTTAATAAAAAAGAGAAAATGCTCTTTTGATTAATGCCCCTTTTTTGATGCCCTTTCTTTTGATGCCCCATTTTATTTCCAGTCCTCCTACTCTTACTCTAGCTCTCTCTGCCAGGACACCTGGACAGCACGATGAAGTCAGTAGTAAATATTATGGTGCTAATTTCCAGTTTGCCATACATAGCTCTTTGCTTAGAGGCCTCTTCATCACACTCACTGACAAATGTGTGTGTGTATATGTTCATGTTTTGCCCCTTTCTCTCCATCAATGGGATAGTGATACTAAAAAAAAAAAAGGAGATTCAATTTTTATCTTGCAGTGACAGTAGGTTTGGGGTGGTGGTAGAAGGAGAAGGATTATGAAAACCATGGAAGCCAACTTTTATATACACTAGCCATAACTTGACTTCCCACGATATTACTTGAAGTTTTCTCACCATTTGGGTTACTCCCTTGTGTGAATATCTTTCTTAACAGCTGCCACTTGGAACTCAAAACAATTTTTCAGATATGGTCTTGACCAATCATAAAAGCATTACTTTAATTGATTAGGACATTACCAATAAATCAGTCTAAGATTACATGGTATTTTGTAGTGCTCTTGTCACATTGGTGGTTCTTGTTAAGTTTATCTCCTACTAAAACCTCCTGGTCTTTTAAATGAGCTGATTTTATGTTAGGTTATCTCCTGTCCCATAGTTGTGCAATTGTTTTTTTTTTAACCTAAATACAAGATTTTACTTTTGTTCTTCTGAAAGATTTCATTTTCTTTGTTTTGTCCCATAATTTCCAGGTTTATGAATATTGATTCTACCTTCTGACATATCAGCTATCCCTACAAAGTTGTGTTAATACACCAATATAATAAGTAGGCCTGCTGCATCTTTTATCAAGTAGTTAGTCAAAAAAGAAGACAACAGCCTAAACTATTTCATAAAGACCTGGCCTTGGAGTCTGGAATACCTGGGATCAAGCTATGTATCTGCCACATAGTAACTGTGGCCAGAAGTAAATCACCTAACCTACTGGTTAAAGACTGTTAAATTTAGAGGAGTTACTGGTCTGCATTGGTGAAAGGATTTTCTATACCAAAAGTTCACATACCAATGAAATTACAGTTCTAAATATTTTTTAATTAAAAAGATAACTCCCACTGAGGCCACCAAGGACATTTCAGGTTGTACCCATGAAACTTTGAACATGGACATCTAATCATATGTGACTATATAAAACAGTATTATCATCAAAACCACATTTTTCCATGGGATCCATAAAGATCTCATGAGATACTTTGTCAAATATTTCTGCTTCATATGTGGTTAGAAGTATAAAACCGAACACAGAAAATGGACACTCTGCTCTTTATTCATTCATACACTATAGAATATATATTAAAAAAAATTCTGTAAGAGTAACTTACTATTTGAAAGAGAGAAAGATAACCATTTCCAACATTATCAAAGTTTACTTTTGCATTTTCCCACTGCACATCTCCATTAATATTCCCAAGGATCACATCTTTGCTGGTGTTCATAAGCATCTCACATTCAGACTTATTTTGGACAGAAGTTTCAAGAAAGCTTAAAATACTTGTGGTATTAACAAATTCTGAGAACTTGCCAGCAAACAGATTTACTCCAATAATACTAAAAATTAGCCAAAATGTTAGGCAGACCAGAAGCACTTTTAAGATGGATGGAATTGCTCTTACTAACGTAGTCACGACCACCTAGAAAAGAACAGAAATCTAAGTCATGAAAAGTTATTAAATAATTTTTGCATTAGATCATTTAAAAACTATTAATGCCAAATGTACTATAAGAATTAGGAAGGCCAATCTTTTAGACTTTTAAAACCACATGTTGAGTAAATAAACCAAATTTTGAGATAATTCTGATGAAACATATAAATAAAAAAGAGAAGATAATTGTTATTGGCAAGATGAATTCATTAAATATTTTTGTATTCCAGAAAAGAGAACAATATATGAAATGCAATATATCATATGAAAATCTAAAAAGTCTTACAAATTATAACTTTAGAACCATACATTAAACTAAAGATTCTGAAGACTTGTAATTTGGTAACTTTTTTATCTTGTCAGAGCATAAATTATTTATTTTCTGTAATTCAATGCAACATATATATTGCCTTACATTTGGAGAATATGTAGGACCCAACTTGGGATCCAAGTACTGCAAGCACTTATACTAGCTAATGTCAGAGTCTTTCAAGATTTCATGATATGTACAAATCCACTCATTTAATAACTCCATTTTGTAGGATAACAACAACAACCAAAAAAATTTAAAATAGACCTAGATGGTGCTGGAGCCTTGATAATCAAACATAATTTATATAAGCAAAGGACCAGATAATTCACAAAAGGGGCAATTGTGAGATCAGTAGTTCATTCAATTATTGACCCTCAACATTTGGGATCCACCACCCATCTTTAGTCTAAGGCCATGCACTATTCAATTACTTTTTTACCTTATTTAGGTATGTTTTACTATTACCTTGTTTTTGGATGTTAACCTAGTCATTCATTTAATTTTGAGCTTTAAAAAATATATTTCACTATTGAGTTACATGAACTCATTTTTCTTTTTGAGTTTCTAAGTTGTGAATCACAGTAGATTTCACTACTACAATGGCTGATTCAGTTAAACATCTTAGACTGTACACTGAACAGCGAAAAATTTACGTTGGTCAATTCAGTGAAAAATTTGACCAAAATGATTGTGGATTAAATGTAGAAGAAATCACTTAATCAATCAGAGATTTCATTTTCAGACCAGATATTTCTGGGAATCTTATTCATAAAAAATGTTTTTGTTTTCCCAGTACTTAGTATAATGACTGGCATATAGCATTTAATAAATTCTTGTTGATTGACTAAAAACAAAAGTGGAATTTCTTCTGAATTTGAAGATATCCCCCTCAATTATCAGATCCTCCTTTTGATCACATTGGACAGTCTTATGATATGTAAAAACATGAAATCTAAATAATGAAAACTATTGTGTGAGAATCTACCTGTGGCTAGGCAATCAAATGAGAGGCTGTGTTTATGGGTCCTAAGTATACAGAAAGAAGGCTACAGTCTGCCTCCAGGCTTCTCTGGCTTCCTTCAAGTCCTAGCTAAAATCTCACCTTCTGTAGGAAGCCTTTCTCAGTTCCTCTTAATTTTAGAGCCTTCCTTTTGTTGTTTGTTTCCTATTTATTCTGTATACAGCTTGTTCATATGTTTTTGTTTGCATGGTGTCTCCTCTATTAGATTGTGAGTTTATTTAGGATAGGGACTGTCTTTTGCCTTTCTTTGTATCCTAAGTGCTTAGTACAGTGTCTGGCACATAATAGGCACTTAATAAATGTTTATTGACTGAAATCATCATTTCTACAAAGACTAATTTTGTGCACACTTTTTTTTTTCAGAGATAGGCTTCTGTAAGTTATTTTTCTTACCCTTACTCTTTCAAATCCAGATAAAATTCTTAGTGTTCGAAGGGGTTTCAGAGCAACAAAATTTGGATATCCTAGATAATTGGTTAGTGAGGTAAAAAGACAGACCTGTGAAGAAAACAAACAAAATTTCACATTAATCTTGGCAAAGTCCTCTGTAAAATGGGAAAAAAACTATTATTGGGAAGAAGTTAAGAAAACAATCCAAGTTAACATTGAAATCACCAGACATTAATAACTTGGAAGGAAATCCTTTTGTCTCACATCAAAAGAAATAAAGTTAATAAAAGTAAAAATAAATAATAGTGATAATACATATTATTTGTTAGACAAACTAGATTCAATAGATTTTTGAAACTTTTTATAGTTAATGGTTAAGTTATGCCAGTTGGTGAGTTTGAAACTGATAACAAAAACATTTTTCTAATTGACTAGCAGCATCACCTTGTAGTATCCATCAAAATGAAACTTTGAGTATTGTTACATGAAGTGAACCTAATAATGGAGCCATAACATTCATTGACACACAATGAAAATCTAAGCATCATATAACATATTTTGTTAATATGACAAGACATGACACCAACAAGACCAGCCATTTTATGAGCATACCCTATGTAAGTGTCTCTTGGCTAGACTCTGGAGATAATGGGTTTTGATCTAGAAGGGCTCCAAAAATCTGGTCTCTGCCTTTACTGAATTTATAATTTAGTTGGTCGGAGAGCTATGATATATGCCCCACGGCACAAAAAAGTAGCATATGCTAAGTGGCAGATAAGTTATATAGAATATAAGTGTCATAAATATTCAGAAGAGGGAAGAACAGCTGAATGTTGGGAAGGTTAAGAGAGAATTTGACTTGGAAAGGGTCCTCAAGGAGGGGAAAAAGTATTGAAGTAGGGATATCATGGAGCTACAATAAGAATTACACAAGACCTAACAGCTACTACATTAAAGGATCATAGGTCTTAGAATACTATATTCCATAAAGCAAAAGAGCTGAGGTTACAACCAACAGTAACTTACTCAGCAAAGTTAAGTATACTCCTGAATGAAAAAAAAAAGGATATTTAATGAACTCAATGACTTTCAGGTTTTGTGACAAAAACCCCAGAATTTAAGGGAAAATTTGACATATAACATCCAGGAGAAATATAAGGTAAAGATTAATGGCCAATTATAAGGGACTCAATAAAGTAAAATTATTTACTTCACATATGTGAAAATATTAGTAGAACTTTTATGACTGTCATCATTATTTGGGTAGTTTGGAAGAAAGATGTGGACTGAGCTGAGTATGATGGGGTGATTCTAAAAAATAAAAATTCATAAGAAGAGATGAAAAGGAGTAGTTACCTCATACAAATGAGGCATAAAAGGAAAAATTGATATAGAAGAAGCTAGTATGGAGGGGGGTGAGTAGTGCTGGAACCTTACTCTCATCAGGAGTAGGTTAAAGAGGAAACAACATATATACCTAGAAGGGTAGAAAAGTTTTCTAAATTTAGAAAGAAATAAGAGGGCAAGGGGATAGGGTGGGGTGGGGGGAGGATAAAGGAGGGACTCTTAGAGGATAAGGTAGGTTATCAGACCATGGGGACAAGAGAGTACGTAGAAGTAAAACAGAGGAGTGAGGAGGTATAGGGTAAATAAGGTAAGAAGGATGGTGAGGAAAAATAGGAAGGAGGAAAATACACAACAAATAATTGTAGCTTAAAATGTGAATGGGATTGATTTACCCACAAAACAAGAATGGATAGCAGATTAAAAATTTGAATTCAACAATATGTTGTTTTCAGGAAACCTTATAAAAATGAGAGATATACACAAATATAAAATAAAGGCCAGGAGAAGAATTTAGTATGGAAAAAAGCAGGGATAGTAATTATGATCTCAGACAAAGTTAAAATTAAAATAGATTTAATCAAAAGTGAAAAATAGAGAAACTACACTGTCTTAGCAATATTATTCAATATTGTTTTAGACCATTTAAAACACCTAGACAGTATAAAATATCTGTCAACACATACACAGGAATCATATGAACATAAATATAAAACATTTTTATACAAATAAACTCAGATCTAAATAACTGATGTAATATTTATTGTTCATGGGTAGGTAAAGCCCATATAATTTTAAAATTGACAGTTTTACCTAACAAATCTATTTATTCAATGCCATCAAAATTAAATTACTAAAAATATTCTATTGAATTATAAAAAAAAAATTACAAAAGTTCATTTGGAAGGACAAAAGGTCAGGAACTCCAAAGAAATCAGGAAAAAAAAGATGTAAAGGATGTAGATTCAGCAGTATCACTTTTAAAATTTTCTTGTACAAATAAAATTGATGTAGCCAAGAACAGAAGGAACGCAGAAAATTGTGGGAAAAAACTCTCACAGACAATCTTTCAGATAGGAGGTGATTGAGTTGGAATATCCCCGTGGGGTGGGAAATGATGAGCTGGTTGATTTAGAAAAACATCAGAGGACTTGGACTTAGGAAACAAGATGCTAACTACCCTCAGAAAAACAGATGATAGGAGGAAGTAAGCACAGTATGGTCTTACATACATCTATATGACTGTCTATGTGTATACATGTGTATGTTTCTAGATAGCTATGTATATGTATACAAATACATATATATACATATGTATATATGTGCATATAGATACATATATATGTGTGTATAAATATGTATATGTGTATATATACACATATATGTATATATGTGTGTATGTATGTGTGTGTGTATATGTGTGTGTGTATATATATATATATACATATACACACACACACACACATATATATATATACACACCTAAGCCTTCCTTACGGTGGTGGTGGGGAAACAAAGTAAAAAGTGTACAGCAGAGTACAAAACAAAACCAACAAAGAAGCAAAGAAAAGCTGGGCAACTTTGGAAACAATGTGTAGTATTTATTATATAGATTTTCTTTAAATGGAAATTTATTGTTTTATATTGAATCCTGTTTTATGGTCTGCTGTGTACATGGCAATGTTTTTCTTTTCTTTTCTCATTTGTATTTAAGTTTAAAATAAAAAAACAAAAAAGATTAAGGAATGAATGGCTGGTGAGGAATTTGAGCACATTTAGAGAGTTTAGTATAGGCAAATAGGCAGGAATAAAATTCCCAGGTAAGCATGACTTGGGGGATAAGCCCTTAGCATCCTAGAGACTTAAGGAGTTGAAATCAATATTAAAAATACAATTCACCATTTTATTTTATAGATTAAGGTCCCATAACTAGATATCATAGTTTTTTATTAGAGACTAGACTCAAATCCCCTCTTAACCATTGCTTTTTTTTACTCCATATTGCCTCTTTAGAGTGACTGAAATGAAGAGGTTATTGTAAGAAGATACTCATTTCACAAATCTAATAAAAGCTAAAGATGAAGAAATTGAAGCTAGGAGAGATTAAATAACTTTTGGAGTGTAAAATAGACTAGTAAGTGTCTGAAGCAAAATTTGAACTCATGTCTTCCCGAATCTAAGTCCAATGCTACTCATTGTACCATCTAACTGCTTCACTTTAGAAGGCACTGATAAAGTGAAACATATCTGGATGGAAGTAGGGGTGGTGGTGGGGGCAACCATATGGTAAGGAGACCAAGGATGTGTGATCTTGAGAAAAAAAGCCTTCAGTTGAAGATTGGGAGTGAGTGGAAGTGACATTCAACTATTTGAAGTGCCTGGCACATAGATGGTTAATAAATGCTTTATAAATAAATATGATATTGATTGAAATGAGTATTAGACTGCTCTGTTTGGTCAAAAATTATGTAACTAGGATCAATAGGTTGATATTCCAAGAAGTCATTTGTTATTTCAATGTAGGGAAAGACATTCTAACTTTCCAATAGTTAGAGCTATCAAAAATGTAATAGGTTATTCTAGGATATAGTGAATTCCCCATACATGGAGATTTTCAAGAAGTTAAAAATTACTTATTGGGGACACTTAGAGATGATTCATACTTTGGAAAGGGCTTGGCTTGATGTCCTCCTCTAAGGTATCAGATTACTATTAGAGTCTATGATCTTATTAAGGAGATAACTCAAACTAGTACACAAATATGAAAAATCTGGATGAAAAACAATATCTAAATTTTGTCCTCATTTTTTTTAACAATAGGAGTGAGTTTGGTATAGTGGATATAGTTGGTCTTAAAGTTGGGAAGACCTAGGTTCAAGTCTAGCATCTGTTACATAATACCTTTGTGAACATAAGCAAGTCACTTAACTTTTTATTGTTCTCAAGTAGCTTTCTAAGACTCAAAGCTAGGATGAGTTGCTGGTCTACATTAAAAGAAGGAATTTCTGTAATAAGTGTTCCTCACATGAATAAAACCATATGTCAAGCTGGGAATAAGTGTAGAATTGCTAATTACAAATGCATTTATGATTAAAAATAACATTTGAGGAATTTTAAAATTTATTTAAATATACATACATTAACAACCAAGAATTCCAGCCAGCACCAGGCATTACTGAAATATACTTTACAACCATATGCCATCCATTTGAGAAGCATCTCCATAATGAAGAGGTAAGTGAAAATCTTGTCAGCATATTCAAGTATAATAATGATAGCCTTTCTCTCTGGAAGGTTTATATCTTCAAAAGCCTATGGAATAATAAAATAAAATACAATAAAAGTTTCAACATATATGCAATGTGTGGTTGACAGTTTAGGAGAAAAGAAATATGAATTTTTGTTAGCTACATGGTGGTAATGAGTCTAAGATCATGGGTTCAATTAACCACTTAGTTTGTCTTTAGTTTCAGAGTTGAAGATGATGCTTGCAGTCATCTTGCATCTACTTGCTCTGGTTCACCAGAGGCACAGACAAAAAGAGTGTTAATGGATGGCTACAAATTTGTCCAATACTATTCATTTCAGCAAACATTTAAAAATGAACTGTGTAAAGCATAGTGTTAAGTTCTGGGAATAGAAAGACCAAAAACAAGAAATTTTCTGCCCTTTGGGGGTTTATATGTTTTACTAGGAGAATAAAACATATCTCAGAATATGTGATCAGATCTCAGCCCTGCTATTTACTCCTTATGTAAATGAAGGCAAATATTTTACCCTCTCTGTTCCTCAGGTTTATCTGTAAAATTAAGATATTGGATTAGATGACTCATCTTACATCCCTTCTGGCTCTTAATATATGAGCTTATGATTTATTGGTCACAAATAAATAAATAAAAGCTGATTTGAGGAGGGAAAGACTCATCAATGAGGGGGAACAGAAAAGGCACCGAATAAGCAGTATCATCTTTGTTGAGTCATCGTGTTGTGGTAACTTAAGATTTCAAGATAGAAGCAAAGAAATACAATCTAAGCTCTTTTAGTAACAGCTTATGCAAAGGCACAGAAACTAAAATGTTTGGATAGTCAGTTTGGGTAATATAGAGCATTTGAAAGAGACAATTATGAAATAAATAGAGCAGTGGAAAGAACATTGACTTTGGAAAATGAAGACTTGAACTCAACTTGATTCAAATCTTGCCTATCATCTATTACTTGTATGAACTCGGGCAAATAACTTATATCTCTGGCCTTTACTTTCTTTATCTGTAAAATAAGAGAGGTTGATTAGACAGCCTCTATGGCCCTTTAGCTATAAATCTATGATCTTATTAAAAAGTGGGTGAGTTCCTAGTTTTGCCTGTGGAGCTAAGCAGAATAAATCTAACCCCTCTTCCATATGACAGCCCTTAACTACTTGAAGTCAGCTTTCATAACACCTTGGAGTTTTCTCTCCTCCAGACTTTAGTGTGGTTGTTGAGTTATTTCAGCAGTTGTTGAACTATTTCAGTTGTGACCGACTCTTTCATGACCCCATCTGGGATTTTCTTGGCAAAGATACTTGAGTGTTTTGTCATTTCCTTCTCCAGCTCATTTTATAGATGAAGAACTGAAGCAAACAGGGTTAAGTGACTTGCCCGGGGTCACACTGCTATTAAGTGTCTGAGGTCAGATTTGAACTCACGAAATTGAGTCTTCCTGATTATAGGTTGGGCACTCTATCCACTTACCACTGACCTGCCCCTCCTCCAGGCTAAATACCCTCAATTCTTCCAACTCACCCTCATATGACATGGAACAAAGGCCTTTCAATCATCTTGGCTGCCCTTTCCTGAATATTATTTAACCTAACAGTGTTCTTATCAAACATGGTAGCATCCATATCTGAACATAATACTACAAATACAGTCCAAAAAGGGCAGGAATACAAGGGAACTATTACTTCCGTATTCCTAGAAGTCATGATTCTCTTATTGCAATCAAAGCTGGCATTAGCTTTTGGATGCTGAAAAACATTAGTAACTCATATTGATCTTTCAGTACAGTAAAACTCCTAGACCTTCCCTCCCCGGCCCCCCAGACAAATTACTACCTAACCACGCTTCTACATTTTTTACTTGGGAAATTGATTTTTTGGATTCAAGTATAAAACTACATTTATCCCTATCAAATTGCATTTTGTTAAATACACTCTAGTGGTTTGTCTTGTCAGTATCTTTTTTAGCTACCAACTCTGTCATCCAATGCATTACTTCTCACTTCGATGATTATGCGTTTGCGCCAACAATGGATAAACAGCACAGGGCTAAACACAGATGCTTGAGGTACTCCATGGAGACCCCCTGCTTTGGAACTGAATCTATCTGATTATTTAGTTCATCTCTCTTTTTCACATGAATAATGTAAGATACCTTGCTAAGAAAAAAAAAGATAAGGCCTTGCCATGATAACTTTCTAGTTAACACCCCAATTAATTTTCTGAGAAAAATGAATTTGTCGTAATTTTTTTCACTATGATGAATTTTGAAAGCAAATGTCTCCAACAGTATCATTCTTGCTTGCTATTTCACTTACCAGAGCACCACAGCTGAGCAAGATAGTAAGAAGCATGAACATTTCGAACCAACGGTGCTTTACTATCTGGTAGCAAGTTTTCCTCAGGTTCCACCAGATCTTTCCTCTGTTAGACTTCATGCTAGCTCCACAGAAAGGGAATATTCTCACACAACCTAGCAAAAATGACAGTTGGGAAAAAATGAAAAAAAAAAACCTATACAAACAAAATGCTAGAATGATTCTGAAGCAAATCATTCTTATATGCTCCAGCATTCATCTCTGTAGCTTTTCTAACTTATCTTTTTGAGTGGGAGGCCCCAGAGTTACATACTATTGAAAAGTTATTTTAATCACATTAGTTTTCCTTCTATTTTCATATTTTCCTTCTGTTACCTTCAGTGTTTTTTCCTCTTGATTTCATCCACTATTCCTTTCCAACATTAAATACTTGTGTATCATTCAGATCTGCCTAAACAGGATCTCTCCTATTATTTATCAACACTGTTCTAAGACCATAATAACTATATTCCTGAACAGAAATCATGTAACCATATTGACTCTAGGTGGTTCATCCTTTTCTCATTTTTTTAGGTGTTGGCATATTTTCTATTTTGTCAGACTTCTTTGCTAGTACCATGACATCATTACATCCCTCATGAATTTTGAAGAGGCAAATGTTCAGATTTCTTCCCAACTTCAGCCAGAGTTTTAAAAAGTACTTAGCAATAACGACAGCATTGACAGAACAGATGCCCAAATCAGTAAAAATGCTTTAGGGTGTGAGTTCTCTTTTCTTTTGGCTAATCTAGCATTGGAATAAGAAATCTCCTTCTTGATCAGAGGACCAAGCTTGACAATGAGAATGGTAAAAAACAGTTTGACATTTTTTCAGAAAAGTTTTTTCATGAATTATCTGCCCATCAACTTCTCAGATTCTTTCAAGACAATTTGCATTGTGACTCAGACCAGATGCATACATGACTTTATTTTTCTTTCTAGAAATGTCTGTCTTAAAATTTTAAATCCTCATAGGAAGAATTCACAAAGATCTCTTTGACATATTACATCCTTTGCAGACAAATTTGACGCTGGCTTATATCAGTAAGACATCAGTTATAAGTGCTTTTTCCTGGAAAAGTAATGTGTTTCTGCTAAGCTATCCATCCCATCTTGGCTGTATCCCTCTGCTTCTGCATTTATGAAAGAGATGGCTCTGGTTAAGGGGTATGACATAGATACGTTTTCTCTTTTACAAACATAAATGGTTATTGTAGGGATCAAACCTAGACCCTTAGTCTCACTGGCATTGTATTTCCTACCCAACTCACTAGTCCACTGTACATGTTCATGATTTTTGCCACTAATCACACATTTGAAAATGATTATATTTTGGTTTAGTTTCAAGAAACAGGAACTTCTCATTTTCTCATTAAAAACCTGAAAGCATTTTTGGTAGTTCCTTTATAATTAGTACAATTTACTTTTTCTATAATTAGATTATTTATGATCCTATTTTTGTTCTGTTAATTTAAGTGTTTTTTTTTGTAGATGATCTTTTTTAATGCTCCATTTTGCTGACATAAAATTACATACAGTAGATTTTGGTGATTCTTTTTTCTCTGTTATAATCTCTCTTTGTCCAGTTTTTGTTTTGATGATTTGATTTTTTTTCCTTTTAATTTTAATCCTGTTAGCTAAAGGTTTATTAATTTTGCTAGTTTTTCAAAGAACTGTTTCTCAATTACATAATTCTGTTTTCCCATTTATTTTCCTTTTAGTTTTTAATATTTCATTTTCCTGGGTTTATTTGTTTGTTTTTTAGTTGTAAAATGTATATCAAATTCAATAATTCTCTTTTTTTCAAAGATAAGTCTTCAAGAATACATTTTCCCCCCTCTATGTACTGTCTTATCTTCAATCTGAAAATTTTGGTATGTTATCTTATCATTCCCTGGCTGACTTGCAGGAGAGTAGGCTCCAATACATCTGAATAGGAAATCTCATGGACACTTTAAGGTTGTAATTGGAAAAGTTATATCTCTCATGGTTGATTATTTTTAGGCCACCCTAGTAATAAATTACAATACATACAGGTACAAAAATAAAGAAAACACATTTTCTAAATCTTGAAAAAATTTGTTGTAAATTGTTTTTTATTAAGAACACAGTTTTTAAGAACTCATCTGATGCAAAATGAATGAAAGACAACTGGACTTTTGGTGATACAACTTAGCATCAACATTGTTGTGGAATGGGTCATGAAAACAATTTGGAAAGCTAAGCCAGCTCATTTTTCATATGACTGGCTCGTTGCCACCTACTCAGAGAATTATGTTCTATTGGCAAAATTCATCTGTTGTACATAATGTTATGTAATATATGGTAGTCACAACACTATTTCTCCCTTTCTCCAATTCCCCACTCATCTATTCCCAGAATGCAAATGGTGCACTATCAAACTGATGGATGTTTTCAACTGTTGGCTCAAAATACAGAGGCATATTATAGCCAAAGCTATAAATTTCTATAAGGAAGTAAGAATAATGAAAAATGGTGAAAGAATAAGGTCAAACTGCACAAATTTTGTGATTATTTAGGAACAGAAATATGAGTATAACAAAAACTTAGGGAAGTTCAGTGCAAGAATATTTTGGAAGGATATAGCTCACATAGGAAAAAATAAGTCATACAGTAATAAAAAGGACTCATTAATATTGCACAATACATTTCACAAAGAGTTTTCTTCACAACAGCTCTGTGAAGTAGGCAATGAAAGGATCATCTACTCCATTTTAATTATGAGGAAACAGGTTCAGAGAAATTAAATGGCTTACTCATGGCCACATAGCTAATAAGGTTAAGAGATAAGATTTAAAATTAGGTCTTCTGATTCCAAGTTCAACACTCTGCACTCTATACAACACACTAATTCTCAACTATCATTCTTGCTAATGAATCCCCCTATATACCTCTAGTTTCTTGGTTCTGACTTCAGTTACTTAGCTTCTCCACCCTGGTTATTTTTGGTCTTCACCATTCTATGTTTTATTTTTGGGTCCTGTGATTCTGTTATTCTGTGTCTAGTGGTATCAGTATTCAAATTGCTTTAAGCCTATGATCCTATCCCTTTCAGTTTTATAGATCTTCACTTAGATTCCACACAGTCTAAACTTCTGGTTGATGATCTCTAACAATCCCAGAACTAACAATAGTAGTAGTAATAGTTAGTGTTTATATAGTACTTAAAGGTTTGCAAAGTACTTTATATCTAATAACCCTGTGAGGTAGGTGCCATTATCACCATCTTATAGACGAGGAAACTGAGACACAGAGAGGTTAAGTGATTTTTCTGGAGTAACATTGCTGGTAAATATCTGAGACAAGATTCAAACTCAGATCTTTCTGACTTAAAGTCCTGTGCTTACATATTGGGCCTTGTAGTTGCCCTTAGAGACTTGAGAACCCCAGGGTTTCTCCCCAAGTTACCAACAGAGGGGAGGCATAACTTCTCCCTGTGTCAACCATAATCTCCATGCCCTACCTTATTGTACAACCAACCCCTGGGTTCTGCCACAGTGGAACCCATCTCTATATCTTCCCTCCCAACTATCATGGTGGAAGAGGTCAGACTCTTTGGGAGACAGGCTTGCCCCTTAAAGCATCACTGCACTTACATTCCCCTCTCAAGTGAATTTGTTCCTGTCATAAGAAATCATAGTCAGGGATCCAGTAGGTGACTGGTTGGCTCAGTAGTTAGAGCAACATGATAATAATTCCAACGTTATTCCAAAGTCCTTGCTTGCTCAATGAAATCATTCATTTTTTCATAGTCATCTTTAAACTACATTTATATATTTCACTCTCATACTAATAGTCAAAAGAGGGATCCAAGTGGGAATATCTGAGAGAAACAATACAAAACTATTACCTAGAAATATCATTTGCAGTTCATGCTCTCCTGATACTGCATTAGAAGCATCAGTATCCTATAATGAAGGGACTATCTACTATGCAGAGCAGTGGATGAACACAGAGCTTAGAGAAGGAAAACTTTAATTTAAATTCTGCCTTAGACACATATCTGTGTGACCTTGGGTAAATCACTAAACTTATCCATGCTTCAGTATCTTTAACAGCAAAGTGGGAATAATAATAGCACTTACCTTAAAAGGTTATTATGAGAATCAAATGAGATAACAGATATAAACAGAACACTATACATATAACTATAATAATAATAATCATTAACATTAATTATTATTAATATGCCCAGGGTAGAACATTTATAGTTATGGTGCCAGAATAGTAAAGCTTATTTTAAATAAAATGTAGTACAAATAATGTTAATCATTGCAAAGAAACTCAAAATAATAACAAAAGATCACAAAATAGTTATCAATTTTCTACTTACCATTTGAAAAACAAGCTCCTGGTTCATCTGATTTTTCAGATCCAGCCATGACTTGCTCTCCTTCAAGATCAAGAATAGGAGCCATGCTGTCTTCAGGGGAAATAGCTTGGCTGAGCTTCTATACCGCCCAACGCAAGCCAAAAAAGAAAGTTTTAACCTTAAATTATAGTTAATAAAGCACATTTAAATGGTATTTCATATTCCAAAGCAAAACACATGGAAAAAGATCAATAACAATATTGCAATATAAGAATGCAGAGGTGCACCTTAAGGTTAAGTAATCTACTGGTGTGTCTGTACTGGATTTTTGTTTCCAAGTAATTTAGTTTGTTGTAAGTTGTGGTAGTGTAATGAACATAGATTTGGATAGACTTAGAGTCTAGAAGACCTAGGTTCAAATCCTGTCTCAGATGCTTATTACCTCTGAAGTCCTGAGACTTGATGGCACTTCTTAATCTCAGTTCCTTATCTATAAAATTATGATATAGGGGCAGCTAGGTGGTGCAGTGAAGAAAGCACAGGCCCTGAAGTCAGGAGGACCTGAGTTCAAATCTGGCCTCAGACCAAACACTTGACACTTACTAGTCATGTGACCCTGGGCAAGTCACTTAACCCCAATTGCCTAAAAAAAACAAAAACGATAATAATGTTTTATAGACCTCACACAATTACTATTAGGATCAAGTGAGATAAGGTATTTAAAACATTTTATAAACCTTAACCACAACTGTATAAATGGGAACTAATATCCTTGTCATAGTCTTATTGAAGAGCATTTTAAAATACATTAGTTAAATTCAAAATGATGTACTTTTATTAGTCAAAATTAGTATAATATATATAGGGAGAATAATGACTTTGTTCCTGGAAGGGTAAGTAGGACAAAGGTAAATTGTTCCACTGGGTCTTTTTTCAGTCTTGATTCCAGTGGATGATTTGCGCAGTGAGAGTACAAAAGAATTGAAAGGAATTGTCATATTCTAAATTAAATGGAAGATTCAGTTCTGAGGGTAGCAGCCCCAGGCATAATCACAGGGGTCCATAAGACAGGATTTATCTTACCCTGAGGACTTCTACTGAGTGGCAGCGATGAAAGTATGAATGAGTTGCAGTTGGGACATACCACCAGGAATGTAAGTTGCTTTCTCCTATTTGTGTTTCCTAGCCATGCATGCTTCCTTTGGGATGAGTAATGTGGGGACTCCTGGGAGGGAGTAGTCCTTCACAGATGGTGAGATTTTCTGTGTCATCAATTTTTCTTTTCTATTTAAATGTCTTTGCTTTGAACTATTATGTTCTCTGGTTAATCTGGTAACAGAAACCTTAATGAACTAAGATTCTGAGATGTTGACTACAAACATGCCTTAAAATTGGCTTTTCAGGGATAACCACGTATGAGGGAGTCTTGTGCTGCAAATATAAAAAAAAAGTACTGATAGCAATTCAATTATATTAAACATATGTGAGCATTTACTCTGTTTCACACACCTATATGCACGTATGTGTTTGTGTTCTATTCTTACTGTACCCTGTTAGGTGCTGGGAAAAATACAAGAAACAGTAAAGATAGGGCATATGACCACAAAATCTTTATAACATAGTAGGGGAAGTAGAGGAAGACGGAACATAGACAAATAAATGTGATACAAGTTAGAAAATGATTAAGTATTCTAGAAAATTTCTATAGCAATATATAAAAAATTTAATTAAGACCAAATTGGATTAATAGTAGGGATGCAAGAATGGTACAGTATTAGGAAAAAAGTAACATGATTTATCATATTGAAAACAAAAGCAAGAAACTCCAAAACAATGTGATATCAATGGATTCAGGAAAAAAAAATCCTTTGACATTGCACAACACTCATGGTAAAAATGGAAGGGAAGAAGGCAAGTGTTTATTGTCTTCTATGTGCCAAGCACTATGCTAATCACTTTACAAAATATTATCTAAGTAACCTTACAAAGTTTAAGCATAGAAACTGGGAGTTATTGTTATAAAAAGGAAACAAACCTAGTCCTGGAGGCAGAGGATCTGTTTTCAAATCCCATATATTACTACATATGTTGCATTGGGCAAATTACTTAAACTTTATGAGCCTCAATTTTCTCATTTATAAAGTGAAGAGTATTAGACTAGATGGCTTCTGAGATCTATAGCTCAATCTGTTTTTGTGATCCTAATGACTTAAAAAATTTGATTGATACACACATGTATCTATATCTGTATATATACATATATGTTAATATGCATACATATGTGAATATGTATCATATCAAAAGCAGCAATACATGTAATGGGGAAACATTAGGAGCTTTACAAATATTTGCTTACTTTTGACACAATTGTAGAAATCCTAGCGATAGTGATAAAAGAGTAAAAAGAGATAAATCTACAAACATGCAAGGAGATAAAATTATACATATATCCTGATGATATGATAGACTAGTTAAAATTCTAGAGAAATAAGCAGAATTTCCATATATCAATAACAAAATTCAAGCCAAAATAATAAGGTAAGTCCCATTCAAAATAACTACAAAATGCATAAGATACATGGGAGATGACCTACAAAGGAACATACAAAGTCTATTTAGATTTAATTATACAACTCTCTTTCAAGCAATGGAGAATGAAATAAACAACTGGATAAATATTCAATTCTCATGGCTTGGTGAAAGTAAAAAAAAAAAAATAAAAAAACAAGACCATGATACTAGTCAAATTACTTTATAGATATTGTGCCATAAAATCAAATGACCAAAGAGACACTTTATAGAGCTAGACAAAATAACAAAAAAAAAAAACTTGGAGGAACAAAAGATCTAGAATCTCAAGAAAAACTATAAAAAGCAATGAATGAAAAGCATTTCTAAACCTCAGATTATATTATAAATTTGTAAAAATCAAAACTATTTGGTAATGGTTATAAATTATTAAGCAGATAATTGAAGCTATCTAGATGAGGAAATTTGAGAAATAATTCCCTATTTTATTTGAACTGCTGCAAAAATTTGCCAGAAATTAGATTTAGATCAGCATCCTATGCCACATCTGCAATAAGCTTAAAATGTGGATGACCAGAATACTAAAATTTATTCCACAAAACAGTTATAAGAAATCTAATTTAGATGCCTTTCACATTATTAGATAAGAAGAGAATTCCTACCCAAACAAAGGTTAGAAACAATTACTAAAGAACAAAACAGGTAAGCTAAATTACATAAAATTAATGTATTTACATGAAGAATATAAACACAAATAGGACATGTATTGAAATGAACTACTGGGAAAATATCTGCATATCAAAATTATTCTTAATGATCTGAGATCTAAGACATATAAGAAAATAATAAAAATATATAAGAAATAGTACCAAGAGCCATTTCCCAGTGGACAAGTAGTAAGATGATCAACACAAATAGTTATAATGTCAAGTTATTTAACATCCAAATGAAATACTACCTCAAATCTCTAGTAAAGAGAAAATTCAAATTAAAACAATTTTAAAATTTCACCTTACACCCAGAAAATTGACCAAGATGACCAAAGATCGAAAGAGTAAGTGTTGGAAGAGTTGTAGAAAGATAGGCACACTATTGTACCACTGTATATTAGTCTTATCATTCTGAAAAGAAATTTGGAATTATGCTATATATTCTATAAACTGCAACTATAAATTGTTCCAACTATTTTGAAAAGCAATTTGGAATTATATTAAGACTCAGAGATTTTCTATGTTACTCATATAACTCAAGGAAGACAAAAGCAGAAAGACAGGTTTAAATATATCAACATATTTATGACAACAGTTTTTATAATGTCAAAAATCTGAAAATGAATTAGACATCTTTTGATTGGGAAATGACTAAACAAATTGTGGCATATGGATCTCATGTAATATTACTGAACCATAAGAAATGATGAGTATGAAGAATACAGAAAAAGACAGAAAGACAATAAATTGATTATATCTGAAGAATATAATCCCTGGAAAACAATTATGAACCACATCAATGTAAATAGAAAGAAGAATGACAAATATATTGAAACTTAATGCTGTGAAAATGTAGTGACCATGCTTGGAGTCACAAGAATGTCCCTTCTACTTTCCTTTGCAGAAGCAGTGTGCTGTAGGCATTAAAGTTTGCATATTTTTGCATAAACTTTGCACAGTGTCACAGAAACTAAGTATAGATGGATATCTCCTATCAGTATACCTAGATAAGCTCCAAATGAATACATTACTTGATTTACTCATAAAAGGTAATATAATAGCTAAATTTGAGGAATACAGAAGAGATTATCTGACAGAGCTACAGACAGACTAAGAGTTTATGAACAAATAAGAGACACAGGGGTTCCAGAAGGTAAAACGAACAATTTTGATTAAATACAATTAAAAAGTTTTGCACAGAAAAAATCAACGTACCTAAAATTAGTAGAGAGGCCGAAAGTTGCGGGACAAGTTTACATTAAATTTCTCGGCTTAAAATCTCTCTCTCTCTGTGTCTCTCTACCTCTCTGTCTGTCTCTCTGTCTCTGTCTCCATCTCTGTCTCTCTTTCTCTCTGGCAATTAGGGTTAAGTGACATGCCCAGAGAGACACAGCTAGTAAGTGTCTAGTGCCAGATTTTAATTCAGCTTCTCCTGACTCCAGGGCCAGTGCTCTATCCAACTGCATCTCTCAGTTACCCCTTAATTTTAAGACATATAAGAAACAGAGTCAAATTTATAAGAGACATATTCCAATTAATAAATGGTCAAACAACATGAATAGGCAGTTTTCAAAGGAACAATCTAAGCTATCAATAGCTATATGAAAACAAAAATGCTCCAAATCATTAATAATTAGAAATGTGCAAATTAAGACAATTCTGAAGTACCATCCCACACCCATCAGTTTGGCTAAATTGACAAAAAAGGAAAATGTAAATGCTGAAAGGTCTGTGAAAAAACATATATTTCAATACACTGTTAGTAGAGCTACGAACTGGTCCAACTATCTAAAAGTAATTTGAGACCATGCCCAAAAAACTATTAAACTGTGCATCCCTTTTGACTCAGATATTGCTATCGGGTATATACCTCAAAGAGATCAAAGAAAGAGAAAATTAT